TAGACTTTTTCAGTGAAAAAGTCCGGCAGCGAAAGCTTGAACACACTGGTGTCAGTAACACTTCTCCCACTGTCTTTATTGGACTGTGATTACATTTAGGACGGTATTCACTAGTCTCTGAATGTTGAGCCTCTTTCTGTGGGCAGATTATAGGCAAAATCTATAAAAACCTGAAGATGGAGTTTCACATCATAATTTCCAGACAGCCAGTGCTACATCAATTCTAAACTCGTAAGAATTAAAGGAGGAGATTCCCCACCCTAGATTGTATAGTAAATAGAAATTCCACTTAATTAGGGCTGAACTTTTGCTTACAGAACAAGCTTTACACTTACAATTCCTTCATTTCTTAAGAAACAAAAACAAATAAAGAAAACAATACCACCCTCAAATCAAACACCTCAAATATTTGATTGTTGACAGTAAAACGATTCAAACTCTGTCTTAATTACTTCTAATTACTTGCTATTATAACTCTTACTGCTGGCTAAGAATTCGATTGTTAGCTAAAATAATGAACATACCACATAGTTATTGCAGTCTTTTGGTTTTCCATGCATTTGCTGAAGCAAATCTGCTAAAATGAAGCTTAATCAGGCTTATCTATACCACCTGGTGTTCTTGCACAAAAGGTTTCTCTGACCATAGATGTGCATCCCTTCCCATGCAAATCTGATGCAAATCAGCAGAACACACCTGACTTGTATGTCACCACTTCCAACAACAACGCAAGTCATTAACTGAAGTCACGAGTATATCCTTCAGCAGCAGCACTAATTTAAGTCTCCCCTCCAGTGATTATTCCCGCCCCAGCACAGCTGCTTGCATGGCTGTTTCATAAACTGCTCCAAGGCCACAGTCTGTGTCAAAAAATAAACCATCCAAAACTAACTAGTTATGCACAACGCAGTGAGCATTATGATAACTACACAGGCAACATAGAGGGTGTTAACATAGGATAAACCCGGGTAACTAAACAGGCAACACGAGCATGTGAATAAACGGCAGGGGTCTGCCCCAGCAAACACCACTGCTTACAGAAATGCGCACTGGACTGCGTACCCAGGAGACAGCGACGTCAGTACCTACAAAGCCTGGATTTGCCCCAGCAGGATGTGTGCCTACTGTGAGCGTAATCTCTCCCTCTCCTAGTCAGAGTCCATAAGACGTGAGGAAAAGCAACCAGCCAGATGCACGCTGGCTCGACGCAGTGGTGTGGCAGCTCTCAGCTGATGTGCTCCAGTCATCTCACGGCTCATCCAAAACACATACTTTCCTATCACACAGCAGAGGTAATAGGCAGCTGCATGCCTCTTACAGAAAGAAAATCTATATATATATACATAGAGATGTTAAAAGTTACATGTATACATATTAAAAGCCATAATGTATGCTCTGACAATATCACAGTTTGTATAATTACTGTCATCGGTAATGTCTAACATTAACGTCTAATGAATATTGGTGTATGTGCTGTGGCACTCATATCTCACTGTATTTCCTTTATTACTTACGAGTCCTTCACATAAGTTTACTTCCAACCAGTAATAAATACAATAATTTTACGCAAATTTGCTATGAAGAACAGTAATTTTATAACATTTTCAAATTTTTGTAACTTCTTAAGATCCTGTCGTGCTG